GGTACTTTCTCTTCACTACACTCTAAAGAAGAACGNGCGAGGCACCATACACTCTCACCTTTTCCATGTGTTCGGTCCTTACGAAAAACAAAATAAGGAAGATCACCTACAGCTTCGAATTAGTACGTGTGAGGCCAACCAGGTTTCAGTAATAACAACAATGTTGGGCTTCATATTCAATAGAAAGGCATGTAATTGAGTTAATTTCTCGGTTATGTTTCGAGGGTTGAGAAGATAGCACTCAAACGAGAAGGTGGCAAACAACCGGGCAAATTCATGCGTTTCCCCACTCTTTGTTGGAAAGTTCGGTAATATGTTTCAATTTACCTCTTAAAATCACCCATTCGTTTATCCTTCCCCCGATCAAGATCTTTGGCTTGTTGCCTCAAATCGTAATCACGGCTTCTTTGTTCTTGCATCATACTTCGTCTAACAAAAATGGTTTTAAACTTGTCCGAAAATTTCAAACTTTTAGCATTTTAAAGCAGTCCGCCAATGGTTTAAATGGCAGAACTACTTTCACGAGTCTGGAGCGATCCGTGCTAGGTTTCCCCAGGCGGTAGATCTCGACCGCACGGCACTTGACGTCTGGGTGATCCAGCAGATCACATACTTTCCGTTCCAAATCGATTTGGCGCTCTGAAGGTCTAGTATGCGGAGGCGCCTCCTTCAAACCGCTTATTACTAAGCTACGAGAGCGCTTATCTTCTTCAACAATATCCGACAGTTCCTTGGGAATTTTCCGCGGAAGAGCCACCAGAATTCTTTCAATGACGGGGTCGGAATTTCTTTTCAAAATGTTCTCAGGAGCTTATTTACGCTCAATCAGGAATTGACTCCTTGTGAAAACAATGAGTGCCGTTCGGTATTCACACTAGAAATGGCCGGGACTTCGTTATAACCGGAGGCAAGGTCTTTTATTTTACGCACACGATCTCGCTTAGGGGGCATGGTCTACAGCTCCAGTCTGTATACTACGTATCGACAATATTGACTGTCACCGGCAACAAAACCAGCTAAAAGACTACTGATTTGCTAGAGTTAAATTTCAAAGGATAATCGGATAGGGAAAAATCAGTATAGGTAGAAGCTATCACAGGGAAACGTAGTAATCAAAGCCAAGAGAAGAAAAAAGAAAAACAGCAAAAGGCAAAAAAGCAAAACAAGCAACGGTATTGAGTAAATTGTTTACTCGGTGGCTATGTGCAAGATTTGTTGTTTAAGCACAAGAAGCTCCGTAACAGAGGTGCACGGGTATTCTTGCCTAGCTGATACGGGGCGGCAAACAGGGTTGGGGGTTACCAAAGGTCAAAGCGATGAGAAACAGTACACAGGTTTATTGAAGGTGTCAGGGGCGAGACAAGGGGGTTTCTGTCTACGTACACTCGAAGAACGGCACTTTCGGACTATAAAGACTATCGTTCCACAGATTCTGGTCTGATTTTGATTTGGAAACATGGAGGAAATTGCTTATGCTGGCCTGAACGGCCTTTGCATATTATATCCTACTTACTTGATGCTTTGACGGTCCATCGACAATAGGATCTTTCAAGGATGGACCAGAGCTCCTCTATACCGTTCGACCTCTCGCGATTTGTATCCAATGTAGGCTGCTTTCTCTGGAATATTTGAAAAACGAGTCGGCCTCCCGAGTCTTCGGAAGACCTTGTGGTTTAGTTCTATTTTTTGGGAGCCACTCTGTAGCTCGGAGACTCCATCTGTCACCTGTTCTACGAAGTAGATGACCGACTCAGAGGTGCTTTGAATGTGCTATGTGTTAAAGCGGGTTTTTCGCGATCTCTCCTTTAGGTGTGAACTTGGCGAGCCTCGCTACCACTGTTGGCTTCGACTGTTTTTCAGAAAACTTCTTTCCAGTGCGTGATGAGAAGTTCTTATGGTTTTGGCGATTGTTTTGTTCTCAGGCCACGTTCCAGCCGCATGAGACATCGCTGACAGTACTAAGGCGCTGAATGTCGATGCCTTGAGGTTGGGAGCGATATTGTTGGTCATGTTCAGCTCTCTTCCCAGATACAGGATCTAACTCTTTGCGGAGTTTTCCCCTCTAATCTCACTGTTACGGGAACAGTAAGTTAGAGGGGAAAACTCTGTAAAGAGTATCCCACGTGTATCTGCATCGCACCACTTGCCAACCATTCATTGCATTTTGGACATATCCATCTCCGAGCCTACGCGCCGGCTTACAGCATTGAAACCGTTGACCATCTTTTCCATTTCAGCAGGGCTGCTCGATATCAAGCCGATACCATCGGCGAAGCGGAGGTTATCGACGTAACATTGTATACTCTAACGCAGCCGTGAAAAGCTTTGGGGACATCGTATCTCCTTGCCGAACTCCCTTTCCAACTGGAATTTTCAGCTTGCTCTCGAACATTTGGATGGAGGACGATGTGATTGAAAGGCACTGTTTGAGCAGGTGGACATATTATCAACTCCAGCTTGCACAAGGGAATTTAAAACAGCGTTTCTCTTCACGGAGACGAATGCCTTCTTGTAATCCACGTAAAGAAGGGCCACGCACGAAAAGCTTTCCTAGATCCGATCTGCTCTATTGACTGGTAATTGTCCAAGATGCGTTCCATGCGATTGGGCAGAATTTTCGTGAATGACTTGTATACCACCGATAATAGGCTGATGGGACGGTAGCTGGAGATGTCCTCTCGCTAACCTTTCTTGAAAAGAATGGTTTTTGATTCTTCCCGGTGCTCTGGAAACCTTTCCAATTTGAGGTAGTGATTAAAATGTTCAGCAAGAAGGGTGTGAAGAGCTTCCAAAAAGGAGCAACCCCGTAGGGGAATCGTCCAAACCTGGGGCCGTCCCTTTCTTCATGCTTCTTATCGAATTTGCAGCTTTCGATTCTAAGATAGCGGGAGGCTCTTCATAAGGCGAGCATCTAGGCAGAAAGATAGAGGAGCCGAAAGAGTTCGGTGTAGAAATCTTGAACGATATTCTCCATAGAACTTCTGGACGTTTTTCCATCTTTGTCCAAGAGAGCAGACAGGACAGCTTCCTGATCATTGGGACTCGTTTGCAGCGCTTGATACTCGATCTCACTTCGGTTGTTTTCAGTAGCTTGGTACTCCTGTACTCTCAAAGAGACTCCTTGACAACCATGCGGCAGGCTTTATTCATTTATTTCATACGCTAAATGAGACAGCGTGAGAAAAGCGTAAAAAATATGAATGCGAAACAACCACAAATGAAAACCGACAACAATTCCTTACAAACACAAGACACTTGACACCTGCGGACCGTTTGAAAGAAGCACTAGAGCCTCGGGTGGATATAGATTATTGAAACGCAAAAAAATAGTCCAGCCTTAATAGTAAAAAAAATTCCGTCTGCATCTGGTTTTAGGCCTATGACACGATAATTTGTGTTCTCCATTCCTGATTTTGGATGGAATAGATCGTAGGACCGCAGAAAATCGATAACATCTTTAGAAGTAAGAGCCCTACGCAATATGCTCAAATCAAAAAGGTCTGGTCTGGATTGTAAGGAAGGAATCTGGAAATATTTGTTCTCTATGGAAGCGTTAGGGTTTCTGGAATATAAGAAACCACCGCGATGCACGAGGACTATCCAGTAAAGTTGTTTTGGACTTTTCAATGAGAATCAAATCCTTTTTCTTATGTGGGTAAAACAGAACGGTTCCGCTCCCGACCAATGGTCGTATATAAGTTATGTACACGAATGAGAAGCTAGAGAAGAGAAGCTGTCATTGATCGTAAGAGCCTTGCATATCTGGTAAGTACGTCGAAATGCTTTTCTGTGCACTTCCTTAAATTAATCGGAAAAGTCAAGTTTATTGTCATACAAATAACCTGAATCTTTGACCTTCTCAAGTTTTTAGATCTCCTGACCATTTATGCAATATGCGGAGGATTGAGGAGCAGGAGCGCCCATGCGTATGTAACAACTCTTGGTTGTGGTGGTAGACATAGGTATCTGCCAATCATTCGACCATTGGACAAGCATATTAATGGAATTCTGTAGTGATACCGATGCCTGAGGGAACCTACTACTTTATAGAATTTAAGGTCATCCGCATACTGTTTGGCAGTAACTATACCATCGCAACAAATAGAGGCCAAATCAGCAGAGTAGATGCTGAAAAATATGGGAGACAAGACCCCGCCTTGAGGAACACCACTATAAAGGGAGAAGACCTCAGAATATGAAGCGTCTATACGCACTTGGAAGGTTCTATCATTGAGAAACTCTCTAATCTATCTCAGAACCTTTTCAGGAAATTCCAGCTTACTAAGTTTGTATAAGAATTCATTGTGACTGGCCTCATCGAACGCCTTAGTGAAATCGAAATATATCACATCGATAGACATTTTATTGCCCAGTGCAATTGTCCAACCATTTAATGACTCGAGCAGTTTGGTGGTAACAGATTTACACTTGACAAAACCATGTTGGAAAGAGGGAACTACTTCGTTCTGCTCCGAATGGCGAAGAATGTGACGTTTATGTGATTTCTCAAAAAGCCTGCAGAACAATGAGGTGATACCTATCGGCCTGTCGTTGGAGTATCCCAAGAAGGAGGTTTTTTCAGAATGGGAGTTATGTACGAATGTTGCCAGAGTCTAGGAGTTTCCGAGAACATCATTGATTGATTGAATAAATATGAAAGGGGGAACGCAATAGCATGTGTTACGTTTTTGACAAATACAAGTGAGTATAATCCCGGGTAACAGAGAAAGAATCACGCCATCTGACCAAGGTATCATAGATTTCAGTGGTATCGAAGCTAGGGAAAGTATCCATTGCGTGAAAAGTTGAGGGTTCAAACGGCGGCAGCCTATTATCATCGTTTGAAAATGATTTCTGAAACTCAGAAGCGAAAGCACTGGCTTTGTCGGTGTCCCTCAAAAGCAATCGTCCATCAGTTTTTAGAACAGAACAGTCGACGAGGACTTCTTCCACGTAGATGGCGTTGGGATCCTGTTTGAGTGCTCTCCTTTTTTCCAAAGTTAGACGGCAAGAGCATTCAGCTTCAGAATTCGGGCTGGTTGCGAACGACGAGAAATGTCTGCACACTTAAGCATGCCTCTGCTTAGGTAACTGTAATCTTCTGTGGGATCCTCTGAAAGACGCCAATCGTAAGCTCCAATGGCAGATTCGAGTAGTTCGGTACCAAAGGAGGGAGTCTTGAGGTGTGCGGGATTGTGCGTGTCGCGCTTGAATATCCACTTGTTGCGTCGTATTTTCGCGCGCACCAGACGATGGTCCCAGCCGGTATCGAAGAGAGCAACACGGATACATCAAATGGAATCCGGCGTCGATTAGTGGGAATATAATCTATTTCAGTATGCGTTCGACCATTTGGAATCTCCCAAGTCCACCGTCGCATAGCTGATCTTCTGGAAATGGAATCTCCATGGAAAAGGAAAAGGGCATATGAAAGGTTCAGAAGAAGTTTTCCTCTCCCCGTCCTGTCGCCAGAGCCATGCCTTCAATCTCCAATGCAGTTCGTGCCCACGACAGCGTTGAAGCCGCCTACGACACATTTATAGTAGCTCTTCTCTTCTTGAATCGTCTTCTCTAGGAGTCTGTAGAGTTCCTCTCGCTCTTCCTCTGCCGCCGCGGAGGTAGGTGCACAAGCATTGATGATAGAAATTGCAACCCTATCTTTTGTGCGCAGGCGAAGGACGGCAAGGCGTGGACTGACGATGTTATGCGAGTCTACTAGGTGAACGATTGTCGAATTGATCAGAAATCCAACTCCACCAACGTTGCCGTCCGCTTTGGGTCCGATGATGAGCAGCTCGTTGTGGTCCGTTTTTCGAATAAATTCCGTTCTGCCTTTCGTCTCCTGTAGTGCGATAACATCATTTGTAACCAGCCGGCTACATCCGAATGCTGGCTTCCTATGCTATAATGCGGCAGTTATACGAGCAGATGACAAGGCAGTTCATGTGTCGCGATTTGGGGAAATTTCCAAGGTTCCGGCTCCGATGACGTGTTGATTCCTATACGAAATAAGACGCTCTCCTGCGGCGTCGGGGGAGCCTCTACTGGTTCCCTCATCAGTAGAGGCTTCCCCCGACGCCATAGGGGAGCATAGCCAATGTGCGAAGGACTGTGGCGCAATTATAGCTATTTGAGCAATTTTCTTGGCCTCGGTTACTACCTTATTGCTTGCTAGGGATACAAAGAAGCCGCGCATACGACATGACGCGTACTGCGGGACCATTTGTACCGTTGGCTACCATTTGCTATGGTGTCACCCTATTACCGCGGTGAGGTGGTACATGATAGGGCACATTATATCAGAGCAAGATAAACAATTCATCCCAATATCATATAACTCCCAGACTTCAGGCCTGGCAAACTTGGCCAAAAGACATCGTAGACAGACAAAACAACCAAGCTGACCGAGTGATTTCTATTATAATTCTTGCAATTTTTGAACAACCATAAAGAGAGCCGTACAGAAGAACGATGGCAAATAACTTCAGCAGGGAAAAGTTATTGTTATCGAGCCAGGTTTTTAAAGGGAGCCATTCAGTTTGCCATTCACGGAATTTTGTTTTTTTTTCACACGATAAGACAAATACTCTGTGATCAAAAATCAAGAAAGCTTCCAAACATCAGGAACTCCCCCAGTGAAAATTGCAAGAACGCCTTTCCGATTGGGGTCTCACAAGACTGCGAGGAAACCTCGATTGTAAGAGAATACTGAAGAACACAACGATATCTACGGAACGCATTTAAGGACAGCACCATCGTGATTGACAGAACAGGGCGACTTCATTTCCTTCGAGCTTTTGAGATCTCGTCAGGTAGGTTGACAATGTTGTAGATACACCAAGTCCATGCTATGCTATTCAGTCTGCCTTTTACAATTTGAAAGGGTAGACAATTTCGATCGCCATCGTTCGCCCGTTTGATCGTATTGGGTGAATAATAGTCTTACTAGAAAAGCGCCCTGATTAGCTCTTGGTCAGAACTGAGATGGTGCATATCTTCATCAACAATCACTGAACCTACCTCTGAGGTGCAAACTGAACATAAAACTAATCCGCTACAAAAGACAAAGTCCTCGATCTGCAGGTTCCAAAAAGTTTTCTGAATGACGGTGTAGATCGGCGAATGTTTCCTATGAAGGGACAAAGATAACATCGATTTTTGGGAATGGTGCAGTTTTAGCTCGAGTAATTCCGGAAAGGCACAGTCAATAGTGAAAATGGCTTATGAGATGTCCAGCTAGGGTAAATCTGTAATCTCCTCGAAGACCATATGTTGCGCTATCAGGTCGGAAAACGGCACAGATAGGGCCTTCCAAAGGCTCAAAGATTGCTACGTATATGTGCTCGGACGAGTTCCAACGGCGCCGTAGAGGTCATTCTACAAGAAAACCCATGTAGAAACCATGTAGAAAGTTTAAACAACAACAACAACCAGCAACAATGAAGGGCAATTCTGGACAGTTTTGGTTTGGAGTCGTCAGCTTTTTGCGCGATTGCATCAATTGAAGTTCAAGACACTGAGACAGTTCAAATACGGTTCCATGCCATTTTCGTATGGTAATTCGTACACATCCATTTCCACTACTCTGAGAGAGATTCATTCCTGCAAAGTCGGCGAGTTTTCTCGCTTACTCCGCAACCTATGCACCATTTACATACAACACATCCCTTTTCGACTTGAAAAGGGCACCTCAAAATTGCTGTGAACTGTGCCTTTGGTTTGGACGTGGTATTGGCACTCTTTTATTGATTTTGATTTGATTTCTCGTATTTTGCATAAATTCTTACTTGAACAAACTACAATCATTGATAGAGCTCAGAGCCAGAACCGAATACATAGAGATAGTAACACACAACGGTCCAGAAAAACGTGCTGTGTAACTACTAATTTGATGATGAGGTTGATATTTTTGAGAGTGTTCCCACCACACTGGAGACACTACAAAAAGAAGCCTTAATTACTGTCCAGAAGAAAGCATGTGTGTTACTACATATCTAGCCATACTCGGGAGACTGTCGGAGGATGGCAGGCAGGCGAGAATCTACGAAAATCTACGCGATCTGAAATGCTTCTGAGTTGTGCTGTACAGTAATTCATTCCTTGTTTCCTTTGAATGCTTGAAAAGAACCAACCCATATACAACATCTCTCCCTTATACCAATATCGTATTTCTAAATAAAGTGACGGACTAAATAAGAATAAGAGATGACGATCACATGTTATAGAAGGAAGGAGAAAAAGGATTGAAGATAAAATGATAAGAATGAACTGAAAGAAAAAAACAAGAAAGTGGTTTCGGTTCTAGTTTGGTGGTGTTCCGATGTTCCGATGGTAGCAAAAATGAACTGCCCGTGCTCAAAGCGGGTTAGAACTATGTTCAGCCGCTTGTTGTCGTTGAGAAATTCGTAAAAGGGTCTACATAGGTTCGTGTTGTAGGGATAATAACCACGTCCATTACCTGCCTTCCACAAAATCAACCGTGGGGAAGACCACTCTTCATGGTGACTTGGAAGCACTAGGATTCATCATCGTTTTAACGAGGTGACGAGTGAGTAGTTCGAACACGGCCTCGAATATCACCAGTACGAGGGGGACCCACTGTTGGAGTGAAACGTGCCGGATTAGAAGACATTTTGTTGTTTTATTGTTACCATTATGGAAGGCAATCGCATATGCCAGCATTTTGGGAGCATTTTGAGCCTAGAACGTCCTACCCTGTGGAGAAGAGGAGGGGTCTGGATGGGGATATACCTTTACTGTAAAGAAGGTTCATGACTTCTGCGGCTCCCATTCGTGTGGCCAGAGAGATAATCTTGGGCAATGCAGATATGGTCGAAGGTGGTGAGCGTCCCCGACTCGTGGAAAGCGAATCGTCATGACGACAAAGATGTATTCGGGTATTTGGGTTCCTATGATAGCTCGGCAACATGTCAGAAAGTCGTAGAATAGTCCTCGATTCTTGGAAGAATTCATCAGAAATGCTGTGGTCTTGGATACGATCAACAGGAGTTGCAGCTGGATGGCTAGTTCTGTAGCCTCAAAACTACGTATTTCCGCTATCTTGAACTCGTTCTTTACTCGAGAGTTGAAGGTTCGTCATTGATGAAGAAGCATCGTCTCGGTAAGCCGATGTTTCCAAAAGTATCGCCAAAGGTGGTACAGATTTTGATGAGACAGCGAGTCAGAATGGTTGACTGTTAGTCCTTGAAGTCACATGTGGAAGTCAACAGATGACACTGGAGCGCCCTCCTGAAGCGACTTATCCGAAAAGAAATGGGGTGTCGGAAGGCGTGAGCTCTCGCCAAAGGTCAGTAGAGTTCCGTGAATTGCGGGAAGGCAGGGGTGACCATCACCAAGTCGCCTGGCGACCCGAGCCGCGATGCTATCAGGGCACCTACTAAATTGTTTCCTGACGAACGTGATTGCCGGCAGTGGGCGTCTTTCTTTGTCCATCAACACCGCTTGAGCTTGATCATAGCTAAGCTGCATCTGATGTAACGCCATTGTCGTGATGTTGAGCGGTGGTGGTGCGGGAATAGATTGTGGATCACATCGGATCAACACATCGACCTCCATATACTGAAGCCAAAATAGTATGCGCAAGCGTGGATTGAGATGTGAGAACAAAGTAAACAGTTAAACGGGGATCGATTCGATATTTGAAACTTGGGAGAGTCCGCTTTGTCACCGCATAAGGTGGACGCATGCGATCACTATTGGGTTTTCTTCTCTGTTGACATTACTCGACAGAGTACTGGTGCGAGCAGAGAATGTTCGCGAGTTCGCAAGAAGCTGTACCGAAACCACATTGGAGTGAAAGTTAGACATCCTTAGGTGTAACTCGGAGCTTTGATAACAGAATTTAGAACAGTTTTGGATAGTTTGGAATTTTGTTGAATTCGCATACTCATCCGTTTGTTGTAATAACCAAAAGAAAGAGGGGTGGTCGCAGGGACAAAACTGTGAATATAAAGTCAGCAGTGCTTAGAAGTCAAAAGAGCGCCATTACAAAGGAGCAAATACCGAAGAGAGAGCCAAAGCTGTTTAACCCTTGAGGAGTGTGCACGCTCGTCGTTGCGTTGTAGAACTGCCCCTATGCGAGCATGGGAATGACCAATTTGGCGTTGGCGAGCCAACACATTCGATTCCTGACGACAGGTGAACAACTCCAGTCGGGCCGTTAGTACAAGCTTTCCAAGAAGAAACAGAAGGTGGAAGACGGTTATAGAACGGGGTTTATGTGTTTCATCTTCTATTTCTTTACCCTTTCCGCGTGCCACCCTCTTTAGATGACAGAGTGAAAAATTTGATCTGCTGCTTTTTAGAAAGCACGAACCTTAATGGTTACAAAGCCTAGGTGAGCTAGCCGACGACCCACCGTACTCAGGTGCTTTTGCAATCTTATCAAGTGGTGTTGAAGATCACATCTCTATGCAATCCGACCACTACTGTTTTTCGTTGTTCTAAATATCGTTAGAGAGGAAAGGCTGGTGATGGTGAAGAACTAATCCGCCAGTAACAGTATCCGATCACGACCCAATCCTTACTATATATAAAGCGTTCGCGTCTGTCTGTCCGTCTTTCTGTTTGCACGGAATTCGATATCACCTGATAAAGTACCTGCAGAAGTTTTAAGCCTATGAGCGGTCGTGGACATATAATGCATGCATAAGTATGCATAGCCCAACTAGTAATGTGAGAGTGACTCATTTGAAGGGAATTCCTTGGACTACAAGATCAATCATTCTGCGAAGAGTTTTTTGTGTATTCCTCACACATCAAACACCTTGGAGCTGCCACAACTCCGAAAACAAGGAGTTATGAAGGGGTCAGGAGAATACATGCAATCCATTACATGACTTAAAAGACAGTTCACGATGAAAGTGACTCATGTGATATTTCTCAAGGGTAATATGTGACCCCCTCGTACACCACATGTGTTGGATTGGAGATGGTTGTAAATGTCTATCAGGTTGGAATTGCCTGAATAGGGCTCAAAGATTGTACCGGTTGTGTGTCATGCTAAGGACGAAATATAATAGTTTTAAAAGCACAGTTCACGACAGAAATGGTTCTTATGATTTCCTCCTAGGCACAACCAGTGGCTCCCAAGTGTAAAACAAAAGAAGCTGAGGAACGAAAAACTTAATAGATGGGGCACAATATGAGCCCCATTACCGGATTCGTCGAGTTCACCCCCATCGACCGATAATATGTCAGTCGAGTTCGAGGCGATAGAGTATGTGCTACTCGTATCAGGACCCAAACGTTCAGCATGCAATTAGCTGATCGCCGAGTGGTAGTGGAATATTTTACTCTTACGCTGTTGATTTTTTTGCTGCTGCGGTCATTTTTCTAGTTTTTTACCTCTCGAGGGTGAAAAAAGAGATATTTTTATGGTTAGTCGTGGTTTTGTTGAGTTATGTTAGTGATTTTTGAATGTGTTGACTGAACATTTCTGCTTACTATAGTCAGTTGTATGCAGTGACACACATTATATAACTTACCATACACCCCTTCTAGTCAGTCCTCTTTTAGTCTTATTTTCGTCCAGCCCCGATTTCAACGACTATTTAGACGCCTTGTATCGTTTCTGAAACACCGACTCTCGTACATTCTTCTCAGCCATCGCACTATTCTCCACCTCTTCCATTTTTCGTCATAACCTTGATGACTCAAAATTATGCCTTGATGACTCAAAATTATGCCCGAAAGGTGCCTTTAACCGCATTGTAGAGGAGTTAGAGGCATACACCTTCACAAGGGACACTTATGTAGGAAGTTTAAACAACTTTTCATGACACATGGCGATAGCGGAAGACTGTTTTGGACGGTTTCGCTTTGTTGTAGTCAGCTCTTGGCGCGTTTGCAGTAACCATAATCTCGTCCCAATTTGCCTCCCATAAACTTCCATTACGATCTCTTGCAACCTTTACCTTCACTACTTTCAGGGAGCTTTCGTTCTCACAAAATCGATAATTTTCTCCTTTTTTTGCCACTGATGCGCTGATTCCACCCAATACTTAGCTCTTGGACTTAAAAAAGCACCTCAAAATCACTGTAAAGTGTGCCTTGCCTTTATGTTATTCTTTTGGTACCGCCGCTCATCATGAATACAAAGGCAAGTGACGCAGGGTAACGGATTTATTTGCGTGAAATTGATAAACCCGAAATAAACTAAGGAAATAAGTCTTGTTGGAATAACCACAATTGTTGATATCATAGTATATCGCCAATTGTTGGAATCATGTTATGCTGTTCTCAGAGCTATGCTTCTTCACTGTCCCGCTGACTCCCTGAAAAAACTTCTTGAGAAAGCTTGTATCTAATAAAGCAAGATGATAGCTTGAATTCACTGTTTGAGAATGAAGTACTGTAAGAAAAAGAAAGCAGCGTGAACCTACTTTGCCGTAACTAATCTGGAACTCAAGAGATGGCTGTCTTGTCAATAGCACCTGACCTTTTTTTCGAAAAATTTGCAAAGTGGTATGTTTTTCAGATGGGCTTTCATGACATACCAGTGTCGAGATCTGCCTGATGGTTCTTTGCTCCGAAAGTGGATCGCTTTCAATAAAGGGGCAAGCTGTTGTATTTCGCTCTTCAAATACAGAACAGCTATGTGTCACTGGCGTAGGTAGTATGCAAGGATTAACGCATGCTCAACTTCCAAAACAGATTGTATTAGGTTGATGCATAATTATTGCGGATTCTTTGGCGGCTTCTTTTCTCTCCTAAAATCAAACTTTTGCATTTGGGTCTTTTGTAGAAATAACCCTCTCGCTCTCCTTAACAGAAATATGTCTAGAAGGTCATCTTCATATACGCCAAATTATGCTCTATTACTTCACACTCATAACGTGATCTCAACGAACTTCTCGGCAATGGAACAGTCAGCCAAAGCCGAATAAAGAATGGAAACTGCTTCTACGGTCGCCCTATTCATCAACAAAAGCTCCTATGGATTATCACGTTGATCGCCTCTTGAAAAATTGGTTAACGAGCAGAACTTTCGACGAGGTGGATAGCGTGGTGGCCAATGTCAAGGCGTGATCGTCTCCAAGAATCAGAAGTTCTTCTCCCGTGAATCCGACACGGGAGAAGATGGGATGCAGTGCTTGACGTAGATGGTGGATATGTCCCGAGCAATAATTTGAACACGTCTTTGCTAAATGTTTCTGTCGTTTCTCCAAGTAAAATTTTCTGAAATTATGCAGTAATTATGCATCAACCTAATACAAATACGAAGCCTATCGGAAGATTCCATTCGTACGGAGGCTCGGACAAATGAGAGGAGGCTCCAAAATCTTTACAACCAATGATTGTCACAAACTCCTGACTGCCACTGCGTCGAGCGTGTAAGGAATGGAGTCTTCAAGTCACTCACCAAAAACTGCAATAATGGGATTAAACAGAAACCATCAGGATTTTACCTTCACCACGTGTGGCGGAAGTCTTGCACGCGTTACACAGATTCGCGATCTAAGAATTGTCTACAGTAATAAGCTCGGTTTTGTAAGCTTCGTACATGGCGTTGCTGCCAGAGTGAGTTCCAGGACAATTTTCATATTAAAGCTTTCGAAATGCGTTACCCACTGTTCCTCTTTCGACTATTCAAGATCTACGTTGGGCCAAACATGGAGTATTGTTTCCTCAATCACTAAATGATGAACATGAAAGAGTCCAGAAAAGTTTCACGTATCGCTGCTTCATTCGTAGAGAAATCACTTCCCTCTCGTATATTGAGCGTCTTCAGAGACTCAGTGGTGTAACATTCGAACTTCGACGTAAACTAATCGGTTATGGTCTGATGTATAGGCTTATCACCAATGAAGTCCATTTGGAATTAAGCGACATCTTCGTAATGCCGCCTTTCCTAGGGCTTCAAGAGGTTACTCCTAACGTGTGTGCCCAGTAAAACCTAGAAGTAGAGCATATGAAGGCACCTTCCCTGTTCGAATTGTGCCACTATGGAACAGGCTTGGTTTTGAATTTCTCAGATGGGAACGTTCGCGTTTGTTCCGGGTACAGCTTGCGAGATATCTCAAAGAACAGCGCGCTTTTCAGGGATGGCTGACGGTGTAGAAACCACTAGGGTTTAAAGTTTTTCTACTTCTTCCTGAAGATTCTTAATTTTTGTTTTCTTGTTCGGTTTTCCTCACCTTCATTTCCTTTCTCCCTCTTGAATAAAATGTTCTCGTAATCTATTCTAACTACTCTGTTGTGGATTATGTAATCGTAGTGGCTGGCTGCATTTTTGTTCCGCTTGAGCACCCCTCATTTTTGGCCCAATATGTCAGCTTCAATTTACGCTGTAGCCCTTCTTCTAAGCACTGGGAGAGGTTGGCAGACCTTCTGAGCTAATCCGGAACTGCCTTCCTCCTAGCTGCTTGTAGTGTTTGGGCACTGCCTTTCCTCTCCCGAGCGATCCGTCGACTACCTATTTATTTACTGTGATGATTACAATATATGCTATATTATTGTTGACTTGACACTACCTAAGCACTTACTTTTTTGCCTCTACACCCGCTGTAACAATAGAGAAATAAATAGGTAATTTTACAATTGAGACCTCGACCGTGTAATTATGTCCCCGTTATAAAGTCATAAGCATCATTTTGTAGTGGAGTCAATTTAATCGAAACGCGATTAAGGGTGGCTCAGCGCTATAACTAGTAATCATTGTGAGTAATCTAGCTAATATGACGAGAAAGAGATGGTTTTTTTGTTGTTGACCCAAACTTTCACACGGGATTGAACTAGAACCCCTCCACGCTAGATTCTGCCTTTCATAGATTAGGAAAAATAGTCTTGTTGAAAAAAGAAGCCCTATACCTGGGCTAAGTAAACGTGTCTAACCAGCATCTAAGGAAGGAGCGATGGTTTTGTGAGGTTGGTCTTTTCAGCATTCCAACTCTGTGCCAAGACGTGAAATCAGCGTTTTCGGAGAATACAACCCCTTCGGTGACACCTGTTTCATAACTAACATGTTGAATCAGGGGTGCAGTTGCGAGAACCCCGGAAGTCTTGCCATTGATATCGCAAATCGACTTTACTCAGAATTATGAGCTAAGAAGGACAGATTCGTGATACGTCTGGTGCTACATTTAGGGATAGAATACCTGATCGGCATCTGCATAGACCAAGTAAGACTTTCATTTCTGCTAGTTGAGTTAGTTGGTACCAGACTCGCCTGCGAGGATAAAAGCTCAGACTTTTTCATTGGGTGACCACGGCAAGTCATCAACACTCAATGCCATTATGACTATGAACGGAAGTTCCATGCGGGGAGTACCTCAGAACGAGATTGATCGAGGCCAAAAACCCCATCCTTCACTTAATTGCGCTTCAACCTACCAGTTTTCTATAGCTCAGTTACAGATTTTGCAACTTTAAAAAGTAGGATACAAAGTACTCACTCTCCTTACTGACAGTGTCATCAGCAGCGCTTAGTGTTAGTGCAGGTTTCGGCTTTCTTCTCTTCCTGATGGCTTTGAATTCTGGTGGATCCGGAATGTGAGCTCCAACACAAACATGGTACAGCCACCCGGCAAATACTCCGCCAAACAAAGGAGCAATAATAGGTATCCAAAAGTAATAGTCATGAAACCTGTAGATAACGGTAAGAATTGACATATCTATCAAAAAATAAGACCCAATATACTTTCATTGAATATCGCTTCCAGTAACTATCTTGTGAGATCTAACGTCGCTTTTCGACTACGTTAGCGTTTCGTCGCCGCTTTTAGGGGCGTGAGATATGGCCACTCTACCAACATCTTGATTTACAGGAAGGGGTAGTCAAACCGGCATTTTCTAGGAGACCGTTTTCAGCCATAGTTTGCAACAAATCCTAAGAACACGTGTGGAATTTGTAGTTCAAACAGAAAAATGTTTATTCTTTGGGGTGGAGCAGTTAAAGCGGACGATTAATATAGCTGGTAGAGTGGAGAGAACGTACAAAGTGGGAAATAAGGGGTGACCTAGGATAGAGCAACCAGTCATACAGTTAGAGGTTATTGGGCCTTCCGANAAACTTTTATCCGAACCTCTCAGTAGGAAAGAAGATATATTCAGTGGCCCCGGCGATTGCCCGATCTGAGCTCTTGCGATTTTCATGGGGACATCTCAAATAGAAGGTTTCTGAGAATCGTCACACAACGGTGCAGGATTTGAAAGTTCGAAATGGCAATAAGTTCGTCCGATAACACCGGCGGTGCTGAGTTGTGTCAGTGAGAACTCCAATATGAAACGTAGACATTGTGTTCAAACTCATCACCGCCTTAATGGAGTCATATTCGAAAAATGAACATTTGAAATCTTGAATTGTATAAATTTGAGCATTTGATGTTCGAATTGGAATTTCCATTCGTTTCATTGATATTTTTTGTACATCATGACTAAAAAGCTGTTTCTGTATGTTTTTTAATACTTGGAATCTGCGGTTCGACTGCCCCGACTGTGTGTCCAACGTTTTCACGCTGCGCGCCGCACACTTAAAAGCACAGCCTATGGTAACTTCATGGCACCCTTTTTAAATCGAAATGCGAAAGTATTCGTTGGGAACAGTTCGTCGGTAGTGAAGAAAGCGAGAGAATTCTCGAATTTCGCGAAAAATAGGCTCACCAGCACTGGTTAGCGAAAAGTAGGGGAAGTAAAGGTTGGACGGGATTACGGAAAAGACGTGTAAGGGATATCCGGACGGGATTTCAGCTATTGCAATTGCGCAAATAGCTGACTACATCAAGTGGAAACTGTTCCGATTTGCCCTCCACCTTCGGCATGCATGGCGAGATGCTTGTACTTTCTACATGGGTTTCCCTGTAAATGGTGCAGCCTCTCAAAGCCGTTGAACGCGTTCGCTTATACAAATGGCACAAACCTTGAATCTTTGTAACACCCTATCTAGGTCGTTTCCCGACCAGATATGGTATGTGAGGGAACCTCAAATTCATTCTTTTAGGAAATTTCAGGGACAATTTCTATCGTGGACTGCGACTTTGAGCAACTGCATGTATTGTCTTTTATAAAGATCCAAAATTTGACACAAAGTCCAATTAATTCCAGCAGCGTAAGAACAAAGAAAGGCCACATAGCGGAATTTGGAAAGAAGAAAATGATGGATATGGGTAGTCAGTTTGGGCTCCTTCACAATTTCTTTACCCTTCTTCAACTTTCATGTGAAGCTTGCTAACCATCCGTACTTTCTTCGCTTCCTTTGCGAATCCGTTATCGACAACACCGGCTCACGATAGCGCTAGGGAAGCAGAAAATCTACAAGTAGTTGTGGAAGGTCTTTCTCCGAGAGCTCTTGAGTTTATGCGCGAACGTGGAGTCGCGCGAGCAGTCATCAACCAACGTCCGAACTTGCGAAGCTATACAGAGAAACGATAAAGGAACATCTTAAAGAGAGAAAAGTGATTAGCAGCAGTTATTGACGAAGCCGTCGAGGTCAGAAAGAGCGAAGCTCGTCGTAGCTTCGCAAACAACAAGACCAAGATGACTCCCCTTCGTTGTTCCTACGGCACATATGCGGCTCGGGGGACGGAACTTACGTGCGTCCGAGGATGCGCGCGGCAAACGGCGCGGCGAAGTGTATGGCGACTTGAGCGCTTATCACTGAGGCCAAAATTCGAAGTAGAGTGGATTACTACGATCAGTTGAACCTACTAAACTACTCTACTTCAAGTTCCTGCCTCAATAATAGACGCCAGAATCGTTCGATTCGCCACGAATTCCACCGCGCAATTTGCCGCGCGCTCCTCGGACGCACGTATATACCCATACCCAAACAGCTCCTCGAAGGGCGATTGAGGAGGTTACCTAAGAATTCTTTCGGGTCTCTTAGACGGCCACGTCTACGTGTGCACCTACAATTCTATTCAGATATGTCTTTCCTCAGGGCACCATTCTGAAATCCGACGTCATCATATCGAAGGTAAATGGCACGGTTTCGCGTCTTAGTAGAAACAAACAAAAACATTTGAGCAGCCCTACGCCATTTCTCACCCATGCTTTGGCACCAACGCAGTACGTGTCGGAATGCAATGTACCAAAGTCGCGAAAATCTAGCAAGACTGTGTCGCTGTATAAGAATGTAAATTCAGACAATATTGGCAACTATCACCAAATATGCGCGCCGTCTACAATCTATGAACTCTTCACAAAAGTCATCAACAGGAGTGGCAGAAAGCAGATGAATGACAACCATGTGGGCAAGCAGCAGGATTTCGGAGAGGGTCGAGCACAATCGATCACATCCATATTGTTAGAAGACTCATTGATGTATGGCGAGCGTACAGTATGCCATTATGTCTGCCATCCTTTGATGTAAGGAATGATACCATCGAAACAGGAACGATAAATTGAGGCCTTGGCAACCGAGGTGTTCTCACTCAATATCTAAGCTTGCTTTGTGAGCTCTACGACAACTTCACGACCAGGACTTCGTCATTCAAAGAAAGGTCATAGTCAACGTGAAGAGAGAATTTCGGCATTCCATCTGGTTAACCTTTCAGTGCCGCTCGTAATCGCATCGTGTCCATGACGCAGACGAAATCAAGCCTATGACACGGAACATCGAGCAGGCGGAACGAATGCAGGTCGAGTTCATAGCGCTTGTGGAAAGATCTACTAAAAGAAGACGATGTTAATGAAAACGAGTTGTTGTGTACATTTTCCATAAGCCAGGATTCATTCAGTCAGGATTGATACTTGGGCTAAGCACAACGAATATCCCTGAATGCTCGTAGTCTACTGGCGCCTTCTACTGTGCGGCCGACGCTACGAGTGAAACAAATGCCGCTCAGTGGGTTAAAAGGGCAATTCCTGACAAAATCATTTTCACTCCTTTTTTAGCCCATTTAGTGGAAATGGAACATAGCTCTGTACTCAGTGCTCATGCCCCTACACCACGCGAAAAAACATTTTCAAAAAGCGTCCCACGCCCTGAAAGACCTTCCTTGTTAGAATGGAAGCATGGTTTCGACCGTTTCTCATTCAGAAATTACATGAATTCAGTTCACTATCATTTTTTAAGCTACACTCGGGAAAGAAATGGTTACTTGCTTTAAGTTGGTAGATTACTTAGAACCTTTAACAGAAAAGAGAAAGCATGGCGTGAGTCGGCCAATCCGACAGGTGACAACTACGCACTTGACAATTCATAAGGCACTGTGGGCCGGAACTGAAATGTGTGAGCTTGGCCTTCTCAGAATTATATTATTATGATGCCTAATATACGAAAAAAAGGCCTTATATATGCCTAATATCCCATTATATATGTATGATGGGATATTAGGCATTATTGAGCGCTTATCTGTTCGTTCCCAATCCCTGCTACAAAGTGGGTTCTCAGTGCGCTTTTTGTGGCACACCGGTGCAGTTTCCCCCAAGTCCCGTACTCTTCATCGTAGTGAATGAAGCAGAAGCTACACTGATTTGTAAGTTACTATGTACATCACTACGAAATATCTTCGAACTGAATCAATGGCGATCATCGCTGCCTAAACTTCAAGTATAATAAATAGTCCCATTATTTTTGTAGAATGCCAAATACCGAAGCAAGTGTCACGAATTCTCTAACCAGAACATTCACACTAACATTGACAACAAATAAGGGCTTTGTTAATTCTATCGGGTTGTCGAACTTACGTCCACACTTCCGGTCCATAAATGAAGTGGGCAAATATCCTAGGTCCAAGATCGCGAGCAGGATTGATTGGATATCCAAGATTCATTCCACAACACGTTCCTGCAATGAATCAATTTGTTTTCGCTTTTAATCTTTTTCAGCAGGACTAAGACAGGTGATACTTCCGAATGCAAAGTGTCTTCGACGACCTCCTGAGAGCAGCGATCATTCCGAGCTGTATGGGAGGGCCTAGGAGGATTTGAGAAGTGGAGTTTCCCCCTTACTTTCACAAAGACGCAATGTTCCTTTTGCTCTCACTTCTAGTGACCAGTAAGTATTACGCTGAACCATTACCTCTGTACTATCCAAACAAAAGGCTCAAAATCTCGTTCTTCATTATCCATCCAGGGCAGAGGACATGCGTTGAGTGAGTTGGTCGTGTGGAATGTGGCAAACTGCGTTGTCTGTTCGAAGAGAATGACGAGTAAATGAAAATCTCCTCATTGTGGAGAGCGGGCTCATGTATTACATTGTGTAGAAGTGCTATCCATTTGGAACGATATCTAAAGCGATATTGAATGGATCAGGATAGCAATCAAGCTCTCTGTAAAATTATATTTATTGTTCTTAAGGGAGGTAGTGGTAAGCTCACGGCTTGTCTTTCGAGTGCCAGATGAAACAGTCCATTCAGTGAGTTCCTAGGCGGAAAGCGATAGCTGTTAGAGGGATCGTTGATATGCAGTGCAAAGCGAAATTTAAAAGATAGTCTTCTAGTTTTAATTAAATCCATCTAACATCAGCACATAACATCCCAAGGACTGTCAGTATTACTGTAAGCAGTATGCAGTGATACTGACATGTCTACTTGTAAGTAAGTTTGTGGGCCAGTCCGCAAAAAATCGCAGCGCGATGAAAAGTGTGAAATGTGGGCGCGGTGAGGAAGCAGATGAACTAGGGATTCTGCAAATACTGTTTATATTGACCCCCCTAACAAACACGGATCATTCTGCGAGACATTGATCTGGAGCATAACTTCCTCCTTCTGTTGCCAGGTAGGGAAAGTTCTGTTGGTAACAGGCATCATCAAACATTCTGCTGACTGTTTCCCATTACTTCTCTGATGCGATTTCCTACATTTAAATAGGAGCAAAGTTTTGAATATAAATGTTCTCGGTAACTACGTACTTAAGAACCCTTCACGTTAAGTGTTTCACTCTTGATGCGTGTTTTCCAGATTTGTAACTTAAGCGGAATACTGGGTGAAGCAGTATCTTTTCCTTAGTATTGTTTTTAGGCGTGAATTTTTGCTTCAACTTCTGCCCATGCGTGCATGATCTAATTTCCGATACTTGTTTTTGGTTTCAATGATTCAGAAGTTCGCCCTGTACCTCAGATACGATTCCACCGCAAACGACAAGAATCGCAGTGACCGTTAGCATAGTGGATTTCTTTACAATACTTTACCCAGCTCAAAGGCAACATAACATACGCTTCATCTAAGCTGGACAATCCAGCACAGCGGCCTTAGCAAAAGTAAGGCAATAAGCCTGTATACTTTTCATAGAAGAACCATGGAAAATAGTTCCTAAAAGAACTTTTTCGGCATTCCCAAGGCATTTGCTATATTCGTGGATTAGCGGTGATTCGACAGGACGAAACCTCTGAAACTCTATTTCGTTTGGGTGGTTGACATCTGAAGCTAATGTTGGTTTTTGAACACAGCTATTTCTACGGACAGAGGGTCTTCCTTGCTGTATCTTCTGAATGCCCTTAAAGCAGGTTGATACATTCCAGAAAACGGAAGTTTCAATCACTGAATTTAAAGAATCCTCAATGATATGCGTACAACAGCTGCATGACCTTTTCTTATTTAACTATATCAATGTACGTACCGATCATGACCAGCACAAATCCAAACAGCCAAGGATGAGCCGCATCCGGGATTTTGTTTCTTTTATCGATCACCACGCATACAAAGAATACTAGCAAACCTGTGCCAAGAACCTGAAAAATTGATAAATTCCATATTATTAGCCAAGATGCATCTGATCGGGAGTGTCATGAAATTCCCTAAAAAGCCACATCTACAATATGGTTCTTGCTAATCCTCTCCGACCCATTTACGTTACTAAGAAATAGGCCAAGGATGCCGTAATCAGGGAACCTTTGTTTTCCCTTAATTATGTATCAGAGCTGGTAGAAGCTTAAACCACATAAGCTTGCTGAAAACCATCTATAAATGCCAAAGGTAAGCAGTCATGTAAGAGTGGTTGAATTCGCTGCAGACAGAAAAGATTCTCTGATTTTTGAGTCGTTTCGCCATATTTTAGCTTGTAGAAGGCATGAGAACATCTGAAAGTACATAGAAATTTTTTTTTGCCTGGGTCATTGAAATGTTGGGAACGATCTGGAGTAATACATCCCGTAAAGCTCCATTCTATTTTGTATATATTTCACGCGGTTTTGCAGTCTTTCCACTATGTTTCGTGTAGATTTTGCAGCCACTTCAGTATTTGTGAAACTCATTTCGCAGACCTCGTCATCGATTTCATGTGTTTCGTAAGCAGTTTCGTAACGTACGATCGTTATGCTGTGGTGGCTGGCGAGCAGCCAGATCTAGTGTATGTGACAACGCCGAACCTAAATTCGTTGAACGAAGATCTGCGCCGGCATGCCGGCGTGCCGGCGGGCCAAGCCAAGGTAGTGCTAGAAAGGGGAAGGGAGGCAGACGGTCGGTCGACGAGGTTGAGTCGAAAGTTCCCTGTTCCTATACCCTCATTTCAGCTCAAACCCACTTACCCAAACAATTGGTTCTCCTGTCCAGCTGTCTATATTGAATTTTTCCTGCCTCAGTACGTATGGTTATGCAATTAACACATGCGGAGACTTAGTACCACTCGGAAGTGTACTACAGGTGAATTTCTGTAAAGACACACCTGATCGACGAAGCAAGTGATATTGCTAATATGAGGATCCGGAAATGAACAGAAGCAACGAGCTGTGCCTTTAGGACCAATGATTCTGTGATCATTTCCATCAAAATAGACGAATTGATCTAGAATGACCACATCGAGCCTGAGCTGACTATTACATTAGAAAGTGTCTGGTCACTGTAGACACGACATGTAGCTCTTGGTGTGATGAGTAGACGAACGCTACATAACGTGCCTTGCAGTTACTGCGAACAAGAAAGAGATGGAAGTTCGTGCAAATTTTTCAGCATCACTGGACAGGTGTAATAGTCACTAACCCATAAGGCTGAAAAGTAATGTGCTATGTCGTGTGATTTACTTACCAGTCGTATACAATAATGTGTTCCGGCCCGGACTATACCATACTACGCCGATAATTCTTCACTACCCCTTAGAATGATCTTCATATCACAATGGATAAAGGTTTTATGGCCTTTCACTTAACCATATAATGACTCTATTCAAGCGGGGATGTTTCGACTGCCTCATTTTTTCGTCCATTGTTTCACTACAACTATGCATGAGCATTCTCTTAGCAGCATCGGAAATTCATCTTCGTTTAAGGTCTGCACTAAGATGCTCTGTGACAATTCAACTAGGTGAAGTGAAATTTCATAATGCGAAATGTGTGGATTTCAGGGCAGGCTCGTCACGGAAGTATGCGAAGATCACACGCAAAGGACCGCGAGGGAACTTTCCCGCCGGAGATCAAGAGGGCCAGGAATTCACTATAAAAGTCAGGCGTTGCCTCATGGGAGGTCTCCCTCTTATCTCCAGTGGACCTGCCAGTCGTTTCTCGCCAGACCCGTCTCTACTAGACAACTGCTTGCCGTCTATTCAGTAACTATTTTTTTCTGTTCTTGTTTTTTTATTGTTCTTTTTCAAGAAACTCTACTGCCTTGCGGTGTTCACTCTGGACATAAGTAGAAGAACACGGGTCTCATACACTACATGGGGGCCAAGCTACTCCACACATACGTCTGAAGTGAACGCTGTGCCCATTCTCTTCTGTAGCGAGAAAAGCGTGTTGTTTATGGAAGTAGTTCATTCAGTCAGAAAGAAAGAAGGGATGATTGCAGAAACACAGCCGAAGCTGCTGTGTGACGCCACGAAAGAGCCGACAGATGGATGAGGACAAGGAAAACCTCCAGGGCTCTGAAGTGAGTTGCACTGGGAAGGAATTAGGCCCGTACTGAGAGGCGAGTTTGTGAGGGCCATTGAATCAATAAGGAGCCTAGGTCCAAAGACCAAAGGTGATCTAGATGAGGCGCGAATTGCTTCCAAATATAGATCGGTGACAAATAGGTCAGTAGAGCAGCAGGTCCAGAACGCGTGTGAGACGCTAGAGACGCTGGAAAGGGGCGTGAAATCACACATGACTTTTGGAAAAGAACTAATGGTTTCCTTACAAAGGAGGGAATTGAATTGCTGGAGGATTGGCATGACTTTTTGAAGGACGTGGAGAGGGATGGAGAATCACTAGCAGGAATTTGCAGTACGCTAGATACAGGAATGCTATAGGTACGAGACGTTGTTGGAGAGATCCGAAAGCTACAGAGAAGCTAGCGAAGGATATGATGAGAAACGATGAAAAAATGTCCGACGAAGACATGGAAGGTACGGAATTAAACAGCAAAAAACATAAGAGTACGGATCGGCAAGTCCTGAAAATGGAAGATTGCAGATGACGACTCGAGTGTCAGAGCGGAACCACGAGTCAGAGGTGACTGGAGCAGCCTACACGTCACACTTGAAACCGCATTTGGATCAATGGGAAACAGGGGCGGAGCAAACCGCAACAGGTGTGAATTACATGGGCAGCTTTCCCAAATTTTTACCGGCGAGTGGTTGTGTCGACCCCGGTGTGTTTCGAGGAAATTCAAGGGAATCTTCAAAGAAATTTTACGAAGATTCCGAAAGAAGTGCGGGCCGTTGGGATACAGTGATAAGACACCACTGGAAATATTGGCAGATGACCGCCTGGAATAAAATGCTAAAAATGTTTTCTTAGCAATGCCCCAAGAGCAGGTAGAAAAAGGGTTCAAAGCAGTAGTGTGGAAGCTGGATAGGTTGCTCTCGAATAAATCAGTAGCCGCTAGAATGAGAGCGTTAACTGAATTACGGAGCTTGAAATTGAGGCCAAATCAGTCAATTTCGGAATTCTGTGTAGCGTTGCAGAATTGGCTGGCAAAGCTAATTCTAACTGTGGTATATTAGAAAGGTCGTTGGAGTACGCGCAAATACTGTTGGATAACCTGAAAGAGTGGCCGGAACACGTGCAATTGTTGAGTTTGCCACACAGGTCAGACCCGAGTAGCGCATATAACGAGATCAAGCAAGCGTGGGAGCGTGGTCAGTGGAGAAAGAGGGCATAGGCATACAAGGGAAAGTGATCGGTTCAGACCGCCGAACACTGAAGAACACCAGACAGGGTACGCCGATGAAAACAAGGACGATATTGAGACCGCAAGTGTTTCGACTGCTCGAAAGTCGGGTATATTGCGCGGAACTGCCCGCTATGAGGACTAGTAGAGGGTAATATAGTTGAGAATAGAGCAAAAACGAAGGACATCAAGGAAAGGGCACGGATTTCGGATCTATTGCGTCAAGCAAGGGCGATGGGATTGGTTGTAGTAAAAGCTACAACTAACTCAGTCGGAAAGAAGTCGATAGAATGGGTAAGTCTGTTGAATGAAAGAGTTGGGACGCTGATAGACATAGGATCAATGATAAGCATTGTTCCAATAGGACTTTTGGCTAGGGCACAAAATGATGGTTTTGACATTGGCTATCTCACGTTAACCGATCGGAAAACATTCGACCCGGTGTATGATGCCTCCAACAACGAGATGCAATTGCTTGGTGAAGTTTCAAGCGGTAAAAATTGAAGGTGGATCTGAATATGAAGTTGCTTTCTACATATCGAAGGAGAAAGGGCCTGAGGTGCTACTCGGAACAAGCGCACTTGGAAACTCAGGGGTTCAGATACACCTGCTTAAAGCACTCTTATTCCCCATACAAAGGTCAAGCCATTGCGGGAAAGTCACCTTGCAAAAAGTACTTTCATACCGCCATCCAGCTTAGCCTTGGTACAAGCACTTTGTGATATTAGCGAAAGTTTTGTTGAACGCATTATATGGCCAGTTTGGAATGGAATGGTAGCAGGAGAGTTTGAGATAGAGAACTGAGAATGTGTGATTCCGGTATTAAATGAAAGAAGCGAGCCAATGATATGTAGAGAAGGCGGTGAGATTGGTGAGACAGGAGTACTGAGAAGTGGAGAGAAGGACGGGATGAGCTGTAGCCAGCGCTGTTGGAAGAAAGAGGGCCCATATCAGAACCATTGGCTAGAAAACAGAAACTGTTAGAGCGAATTTTCCAAAACAAGTCTTCCAAAGAAATCCCAGAAGATATCTGGAAACTGGTGGAAGAGAAAAGGGAAGCATTTGCGGTGTGTGACCGGGAACTTTGGGCCTCGAGCGAAGTCGAAATGGATGTGAGCACAGGGGATCACTCACCCTCTAAGTTGAAAGCTAAACCTGTCCCGCTAGCATTGCGAGCTAAGTTGAGGGAAATGCTGAATGATATCGTATCTAGGAGAATTATCGAGAAAAGTACGTCGGCATGGGCTCTCTCCGTAGTCTTGGTGGAGAAGAAGAACGGCAGCTTAGGAGTCTGCGTTGTTTACCGCGGGCTAAACAAGTACATCCGTCAAGGCGCGTATCCGAGATGCCGTTGACAGACGCAATGTTACAGAGCATGGCAGGGAAAGGTATTTCTCGACACTGGACCTATGTAGCGGATATTGGCAGATTCCGCTTACACAGAAGGCAGGGGAAAAGACGGCTTTTGCAACAACAGAACGCCTGTTTCAATTCAGGGTTCCGCCACTTGGCCTTACATAACACTACGCACGCGGTATTCCAATGAGTGATGGATACAGTCCTAAAGAGTATGATGGGTATCCTGTTATATCGATGACATAATGATTTGTACTATTATAGAACGAGAAAAGGCATCTGGAGCTTTTGAGAGCAGTGTTTAAAAGGTTGATAGAAGCAGGACTTTGACTGAAGGCGGAAGAGATAGAAATGAAAGTGTCCTTCTTTGGGCATGTAGTCGACGGAGCTCATAGTTCCACACAAAACTGAAGCTGTAAAGAATTACCCTGTCCCCAAGACGTGAGGGAATTGAGAACGTCCCAAGGGATGGAAGCTTTTTATCGGAAATTCTGCTTGAACTTCGCAAAGACAGTCAGTCCACTGTCCTACCACAAGAGGACGAGGGCAGATACCTGCACCCTATCCATTCCGTATCGAAGCCTTTGAGTAAAGCTGAAAAACCGTACCACGTGACCGATCTGGAGGCGTCAGCCGTCATGTTTGCAATAAAACGATTCCATATGTTTATTTATGGAGTGCCCATCAGCGGTTGATGGTCCATCATGCCATGAAGGACCATCAACCGCTGACTGCTTTGTTCAAGAGGAGCAAAGTCTCTGCACGAGTACTCAGACGGTAGCTCGAAGTGCAACGATAAACTGGAGATGAATACGTGAAAGGACGGACAAATGTGGTAGAGGCATACGAGTGGAAGGGGAGACAGAGTCTTTGCCGGAGTTGAATGAGGCGGTCGCGAATAGGTAAAAAAGACGAATTGGATGGAAGAATTGGAGAAAGATGATGATTTCTCGCGAGTGCTGGAAGTAGTAAGCAGGATCAGTATAGGACAATAAGATTGCATCACACGAACAACTGGATACAAGTTGCAGATTTTGTTAACGACAACGGGAAGAGGGCGCCTTAGTATGTCCGGTCCCGAGGAGCGCAAGATACGAGGTCTTCATGAAGCCCACGCGGTGAAGTAGCAGGCTGTTTAGTGCATTCAAGCTGCCAAAGAAAATGCGCACATAGGGGTTTTGGCCAAACATGATGCAAGACGTAGGTAGATGGACAAAAGAGTGTCAGCGCTGCGATGTCCATAACCCGAGAGTAGCGGGAGTTCCGCCACTAATGCCGATAGTGACCACGATACCGTACAAATTGATAGGCGTGGACGTGTTAGAACTAGGACTGACCTCAAGTGGGAATAAATACGCGGTTGCAGTGATTGACCAAACTCACGAAATAGTGCGGGAGTATAACGGTTGCGTGAGGGAAACATTGAAAAATGCGTCTGACAAGTGTAACAGAGTAGACCGAGAAAGGCTTCCGAAGTTAGGGGATAGAATGCATGCGAGTGGGCTGAACCCTTTCGTCTGATTGAAGCGGGAGATAACTCTGCAATTATTTCGCAAAGGTTCAATACGATATGCTAAAAATAGTGCCAAACCAAATATCTAATGAGAGCATCGACGCAATTACTCAAGAGGAAAAAGAGGCAGGAAACCAAAAGTGGAGGTGAATGAACTGAAATGTCCTTATAGGAGAGGCGCAGTAATCGACTCAAGAGAATGCAAAGGACATTGGCAATATGAATGCAAGGACGGATGCCAGGAAGAAACATGCTTCGGAGACCTGAAGGACATCATGTTCCCAGGAGCATTTGCGAAGGAGCCATTAGGCTCACTCCAGCGTGCATGGGTCGTCGCCTGCACGTTTATAAGGAACGACATGAACACGGCTGAAAAGATCAAAGCATGGAAAAAAGGAGTCGCCGGTTGTCTGGACGCCGAAGCCCTGCAGAGAGTTTTGCAGGTGGTATATGATCGCTGTAAAGACTGTGCCGAACTTCTACATATATATACGACAGATGGAATATCGAAATATGAGAGGATTGATTACTACAGCTTCAAAAGGGATTTATGATGAGGCTTAAAAAGTTTGAGAAGGTGAAAGTCGATTTTGATGAACAAGAGAAAAACCGGAGGTCTAAAAAGCTAGTTGGACCGCGTTTGCGGCGCTAGAAAATGCCTTGTTACTGGAACGGGACGGCTCACGTCGTGGTGTTAATGGTTGCTACGTCATTAGGGAAACTGAGGAATATCCTAGATGAACCAAAGACATGTTCGACATGGATAATCGTTTGGCCTCTGGACACGCTGTTCACGAATGCGCAGATATGTGAAACTCTCCGCAGATGTCATCAGCAGCTCGAAGAAGGAGCGCGCATGGTGTCCGTATTTCCTCCTATGATGGAGTCAAATCAAGGTACTCGGAGACAACTTACGAAATTGTGGCAAATGATTGATGTCGCACTACAAAGGAAAGCAGGACCATCCCAACTCTTGACAACGGCCAGCCACACAATTGAAGGTGGCAAAGTATTCACTGAGGCCAGCGCACCGGAAGGGTGCTTGAACTTCTTCGGAAAAAACTAGGTGTGGGAAGCGCAACAGCTTTATACAAGTGCATCGGGAACTGCCTGAAGGAAGCAAAACTGCTAAAGCTGGTTACACTCGGAGTTGCGCCGACAAGAACGCCGGCTCTCCGAGAGGGAGGATGTGGATATCAGGGCAAATTCGTCACGAAAGTATGCGAAGATCCAACGCAAAGGACCGCGAAAACTTTCCCGCCGTAGATCAATAGGACCAGGAATTTATTATAAAAGGCAGGCGTTGCCTCTTGAGAGGTCCTCTTATCTCTAGTGGTGCGGGCATAAGGCCCGCCAGTCGTTTCTCGTCACACCCCGCTCGTTCCACTTCTCCAGCAGTAGTCGCTTCGTCTCTACTCGACTACTGCTTATCTTCTATTCGACAGCTATTTCTTCCTGTTCTTGTTTTTTATTGTTCTTTTTCAATAAACTCTACTGCCTTGCGGTGTTCACTCTGGACATAGGGGGAGAACACGGGTTTCATACATTCAAGTGTTGAATTCGAAAGAAGTGCTAAAATGATTAGGTAAGATGCGCACTTTTGCTAGCGACTTTCGATAGCAGGGCGCAGTAATGCATTGCTCAATAAAGCCGTGTAAGAAAATTCGACAGTCGACAGAAAAAAAAAGGTTGGCAGCTCCAACCTCCCCTCCACAGGTAGATCTCAGAGTCAAGAACAAGTTGATGCAACATCACTTTGGGCCAAACTTGAACATAGAGTAGCTCAACTGTTTTGCCCAAAAACTCCTTTTGCATTGGCGAGGAGCTATACACTTGGCACTTTTCCTTCTCAAAGCTTCTAAATACGAACGTCTCATTTATGCCCAGAGATCGCCCTACCAGCTCCTTTTTTCCTGACTGTCTCAAAATTCTGCCATGATTCTGACTGAGGCCTTAAGCAACTGAATGCGCAGTTAACGACAATTATGGGATCATTTTTCAGAGTGAAATTATGGAAGTTGTGATGCAGAGTAGTGGATCAGTGGCAAACAAGGCGTGAAAATCGTTGCATTTTGAAAAGTTAGCCTCAGAAGAGTAATAAAAAGGAGGGTAGTACGAGGTTACGTTAACAGAAGTTGCATGGAAGAGGTATTCAGATTGTTGCGAGCTGTCTGTTGTATGATTTTGCATAGAGCTGAGCCAGAATTTGCCATGACACACGACCGATTATTTAAATTTTCAATACGTGTTTCTTTGTGAGTGATGCAACCTCCAAGAGGCAGTAATAACATGACTACTTCTGGGTACATCGGCCGAGCTGGTTTTGGAGCCTTATGCCCTGCCTCACGGCAAGGACGAATGAAGACGTTACTGGTATGAAACGAAAATTCAGCCCGGCTCTCGGCTCCTACCGTAACTCCTTGGCTTACCCCACCCACCCCCGTGTCCTTGCCCAAAGCCCTTTTTCGAGGCGTCGTATATGTGACGGGTAAAAATTCGCGTGTTAACACGTGCCGGATTACTGTAAGAGCCGAGTGTCGGACTGAATTTTCGTTCCTGTCGTTACTGGCGCCCGCTCGAGAAAATCGATGATCAACGCGACGACAGGCGATAAGACAGGTGATTACACCCTGGGCAGGTCATTTCAACCAGGCAGTGTCCCATGTGCTGTCCATGAGGATAACATTTCTCTCTCATGAATATTTCGGAAATCATTTCAGATGAATTACGCCTTAAAGATGAACATAAAATTCAAATCTTTCGCTAGTCTATGTCAACTACGATTACCGGAGCCAAGCTGTCTAGGAACCCGGGAAGACTAGAAAAGCACTTTATTCCGCCCTGAGGTCACTTTAGTTAGCTAATTCCGCGCTAAATTTCTGCTCATATTCGCAAGGAAGGCTAGTGAGAGCAACGATCAGCAAAATTGAAATGCATCATCCGATTTTCGAGCTCAAAAATGTGTGCGTAAAAGAAGGCCTCTGCCTTATGGAACCTAGTATTTCGAAAAAGAAGAAGCCAATTGAAATCGTTCATCGTTAAGTTAGGATCGTGAGTTGTATGAATTCTAACTTTTTCTATGTGGGTCGTGTGCTTGAATGTGTAGATACATTTGACAAGAAAATAATGATTCTTTTGGTGTGGACCAAGAGGCACACCAAATTTAGAGAGGATACATGTATCAATATGAGTGCTTCAATGGCTTATGGAAGAGTTGTTGGGCTCTACTCTTCCATCCATCGAAGTTCCCGATGGTACGTCCTCAGCAAGACGCTGTATTGACGAGCATTGCAAGTATTCAGTGAAATGTGGAGTAGCTGACATTTTCCGAGGTCAGATGAAAGTAGACCAGCATTTCCCAGACTGCTTCGGTCAATTCGATGCCGGTTTTCTTCAAACTGTATGAATTTCGCCATGCATCAAATTCAAACGACTGAGACTTCAAATGACGTCAGTTAACGGAAGCCTGTCGAGGTATAGAGATCAGTGGTTGTTCGTATGGGCTTAAAGTGCTCTTTTGATCATGATGAACAAATTACCCGATGCTCTTACCCGTTTTCATTTAGTACAATGAAATTTCGTTGGTAATGTCGTCTAACAAAGCAGGTAAGACAAGAGTAGACCAATAGAGAATAGCAACGAGACATAAGTGGATATTTTCTGAACTGATGACTTAGCGATTTGCTCCAGAATCTAACTTCGCTTCTTCTCTGCTGTTGTTTCTGGGTTGATCAGGCGAATTTCCATGATTTTTTAAAGATAAAAATAGGGGGAATGCTGAACCAACCGTAATACAGTAAGTAGGCAGTAGCAGCTCCAACAAATGCTCCAGCCGTCTGCACAACACAGTAGATAAGAAAATGACAGAATGAGAGCTTGCCGAAAGTCAGCATCGTGATGGATACAGCAGGATTGTAATGACCACCTGATACAAAACCATTAGAGGTCTTCATGTGTTTATGACTTTGAAATGGGATCCCGTCTTACCCTTTCATTACAACTGGACTAAGATGTTGTTCCAAGTTGAAAAAGCATGCAAAAGCGAAACGTAAACAGATTACATACCATTAATAAGTTCTCTCTCAGCTCTACTGATGGACTCTATTCCTTTTTATGTTGAGGCTAAAATCCTTACTGTGCCTGTTGTCCCCCTTTTCATTTTTGGCTCAAAAAATTAAACCATTGAACCAGCACCATATGAGGCATTACAATTCAACACTGGTTAAAATCGATTGACTATGAACGATCGCTACATTCACAGCTTCGAACACAACTCTTAGAGCACAGTTTTGAAGAAAGTACCTTAGCCTCGTAATTGGCGAAATTTCGGCGGGCATTGCAAATGCTCTTCCCTGTCTCAGTGGCTTCAGCCACAATTTTCGATCTTTCCTCTTTCAGGTTCTTCTTTCGACGCTTCTTTACCCAGCTTTGAAGGTTTGGTAGTTAGTTGACTATCGCCTACAGCTCGGATGATTCAACTTTCAGCTCGAGAGTCTTCGAAATGAAGCGTCCTTTACAACTAATAGGATTTCTGCTTTTTCGAGAATGTTCGAAAAGCCGGCTGTGTTCTTCATCGATGTTGTCGCAAGCGGAATACCACGGTCGACCTCCTCTCCTCCAGCCTTTACTTGCCGAAACGTTAGCACCATTGAATTCCCAAATATTAGAGTGGTTGCAAAAAGCTTTAGATAGTCGAAGGAATCTTAGCAGTCTTGCAAGGAAAGCGAATGGAACACAGTTTGTGGGTGGGTTGAGGCTTTGTTTTTTCAAGCGCGCAGATCTCCTTCGACGCCTTGAATAACAGAATTTGGCTTAGGAAATTCGATGGTCCGATCCCATGTAAAAACTCGTAACCACCACAATTTCAATCGAGCAATTTCTCCTATTTCTCCTCCTTTCTCTTTTATTGTTGTAACTTTCTCGCAAACTGCCGATTCGATACTTGTCAAGTTCTTGAGTTGCTTGACAGTTGACAACGAGTTGTTATGCGACCATACAATTTGATGTTTGTGGCCAAGTGCCAGTGACGAGAACACTTCTGCTGTCGCATGTTCCATAGAACAGTTCTTATTCAGTCAGTCTCGAGAACGACGTGTAGGGGCGATACCTATTCGTTTTGACCAGTCCGATGACGTCGTAATTGATCTTTCTGGACTGCATCATCGGACCTCCGATATATTACAGCTTCGAATGAAAGTGTATTGCCTTCTTATCCTGACTTTTAGAATATGGAGTAGTGACGAGTTGCACACTATTACACACGCATAATCCAGGGTTCTGCTGGATAATGGATAAGTCTGCTTTAACTTGGTGTTTTTTTAAGCCAAAACTGTAGCGCTTACAGAATTGGCGTTAAAGTGTGGCCCATTCATTCATGAATTCTCGGTACTATGAGTTCACAGTACTTATTAAAGTCAGCTGACTTATGTGTTGTTCAATTCGTGAAGTTGTTATCATGATTGCTCACCATAGTTCGATGGGATTGGGGGACTTTAGAACATGGCTCGAGATGCAGTCTATAATTTTGCTCTACTTTGAAGTCAAGTTCAAACAGTTCAAGCACACCCCGACACCTGCCCACATTCACACCCACACACACACATGCGCACGCACATACGAACACCCAGACACAAACTCTCGCAAACACGGACAAGATAATAATCACACCTAGAAGTTTATACGTAGTAAGATTATACAGGGTGGCCGAAATTATGATTACTGACGCTCATAGCGAATTTTTTCTGAAGTCATAGCATTTCTTTCGCTTTCTTCCATTTTACAAGGTGGGTTTCTTTATCACCTTCCTAATCATACTAAAGTTTTGATAGATTTTGAAAATGATGTAAGCGTCACTACCCCGTGAATCAATCATCGCTTTGCATTCACAAGCACTTTTGGCACGGTGCATCTACAGACCACTCAGCGTAACAAGACAGGGGGTACATTCGATTACAAGACGCTTTCGAGAGTTGGGAACAATTGCAGGTAGAAACTAGGAGGCCTGCGGTTACATTCAGTGGGAGTTTCAAGGAAGCAGGGCGAAGGTCTGCGTAGCAGCGAATTTCATTNTGAGCCCGAAACAACTACATGAATGGATATCTCATGAAGTTTTCTGAGCGAAATTGTGAAGCGTCATCTGCACGAAAAGGCCTCTATGCGATCAGAAACTGGTTTCCTCAGGGAGCAGACTAAAAAGAAGGGAATTGTTGGCTCACCAAAGCTGCCCCGTCGCATACAAAAAATCGTCGTACGGAATTCCTGTTCACCGGCGGAAAGATATCCGCGGTAAAAAAGGTGCCCAATTAGCAGGGTTACAAAATTTGTATAAAGCTGTAAGAAATGGAAATGATGCAGCGCTAGGCCCGCTGACTTCTGCGATATCGTTTGCGAGAGTCACCGACGAGGCAAGAGAATGGATTATTTTTGCAGAATAAATAGTGAAATTTGATTTGGACACCGCGCAGTAGGGCACTTTGGCGATTCAAACCGGACATTTTGCCCAGATGATGCGCCTGATTGCAGATCAGAAATTGTCTAGAAATTCCGTATGAGGGATTCCCTGGCATCATAATCTTCGATCAGTGACAACTCTGGAGCCCTGACCCAAATCCCACGGATGTCTCAGTGTGGTCGGCCTCTGAGATGAAAGCATCCGTTAGCCCAAGCAAGAACAGAAATGATGTCAAAAATGCCTTGCAAAAAGCCGGGATTAACTCTAAGACCTTAGCCGCGGGCCACCGTCAATGCCGTCCATCGTCGTCTTTGGGGTTTGGTGAAAGCAGAAATCAACAGATCCCAGTCTCAGTGTACTATTTTGACAAAAGATCTGTGATAGACACTTTTATGAAATTGGCTTGCTTTTTTAGCTCTCTATTCGTTTCGGGGATGTGATGTCTGTGTAATCATAATTTTGGCCCACCCTGTAGAGTCATACTCTACTCATCACACTTGGAAAGATGTTCCACCTGGTGACTAGATTTTATCTTCATCTAAAGCTGACGATGCATAGTCGATGGACAAGTCTTGCAACACTTTCTTAACATTGAGTTATATCGTCACTTGCGAAATATTGTGGAGATTATCGATGGGCTTACGGTTGAGTGCATCCGAATAACCCACTGGAGATCTCAATAAGGAGTGCTTGGTTGGGTGCAGGAAGAAATTATCAAATTAAAATTAGTCGTCTGCCTTGACAAGGAGTCCTCTAGTGAGGTAACGGGTGATACTAGCATTGGTCCCACAGTGTATCAGTACTTCAGAGTCTTGGACTCTGGAGATAAGGATCTTGCTTATGTTGATCTATAAGTTTATGAAGTATGAGTATGAGGATCTACAATTTTAGAATCCTGACTTTCCAATAGCAAGCTCTGAACTTGTCGCGCAGAAAGTACCTGCGTCACTTGAGGTACGACAGTCAACGAACCTCATCTAACATAAGTGTTAGGTGCTCCATCAATTCAGGGATAGTAGGTCAACTGTGTGAATCTTCTTCCTCTTCCTCATCTTCTCCCTATCGTCAGTCCCGCACCGTAGCAGGGTTCGCTGTTTTTGTCATACGTCTCCATTTCCTTCTATCTACGGCATCTTCTTCTGTTACCTTAGCTTCGACAAGATTCTTCTTGATCACGTTTCGTCACCTCTTCTTTAGGGTTCCTCGTAGGCGCTTTTCTTGAGCCTCGAACTCCAATGCCTCCCTTACCTTACATGATTCGGTGTTCTTCTTAGTATGTGTGCGTATCATCGCAAGAATTGTTCTCTCATCTTTGCTGTACTCCTTGTATGACCGCTCTGACTTCCTCGTTTCTGATCCGATCGCGTACAACCGCAGGCCCATCTGAGCATCCTCGTCTCAGCGGAGTGGAGCTGTCTTTCATAATTTCTAGCTACCAGCCCTCGCCGCTGTAGATCATTGCGAGTCTCGCCACTGTTCTGTACACCTTGCCTTTTGGCGTCCTGGCGTCCGTCCACCGACGGTCGCAGAGAATACGGGTGGGTTATCTCCACTTCATCCGTGCTGTGTTTTGTCGGCATTTGTCTACCCTACCGTCGGCTCTTGGATCGCTCTTCAGGTATCGGAAGTCCTGTACCCTTTCGATGATTTTTCCGAGACCGTCTACGATTGACTCCATGCACACCTTGGAAACCTGGTCTTCTTTACGTTAGGGGTGGTCCTTATCCGCTAGTACTTTCTGCCACTCCTGCACCTTGTCCTGGAAATCTTCTCAGCCCTCCGCTATCAGAGTGATGTCATCAGCGTAGAGGATGGCCTTCTGTGGTCCAACCAGGGTCGTATGTGATGAAATCCGGTGTGAGTAGAAGAGGAACGGGCTTAGAGCTGATCCCTGGTGTATTACAACCGTTACGTCGCTTCGGTCAGGCCTTATGGAGTGCGTATTGCTGTTGCGTACCCATCGTGCATGTCTTTGATCAGGGTGGTCATGTGTTCAGAAGCGTTTCGCTTTCGGAGCGCTCTCTAGAGAGGAATTGTCGCGGTGGACAGAAAAATGCCTCCTCCATGTGGAGGAAGGCTGGGTAGCAGGGCCTACGCTTTTCCCGATACTTCTCCATTACTTTCCTGGCTATGAAAATGGCATCCGTTGTAGAGCGACCTGGTATGAAGCCAAAGTGTTCCCGTGAGATCTGGACTAGTGCCCACAATCTTGAGTCGACTAATCTCTCGTACGGTATCACTGTGTGAGCAGTCAGCCTGATCCTTCTGTAGTTGGAACAACCCATGGCGTCCTCCTTCTGTTTAAATATGGTAACGACAGTGCTGCTCCTCCAGGCATTTGGGACTCTTCCTTGTGTTCAGGAGTCGGGTGAGCCACATTACCCCTTGCTCTTCGAGCGCCTTCCAGCGCCTCGATGGGGATCCCATCCCGACCCGTTGCTTTTCCAGCGTTCATCTTCGCGATAGTTCTACGCGCCCTATCTTCTGTCCACAGTGCGATGGGACCAGCAGTGGCTTCTATTCGGAAACTGCCCCCATGGTGGTATCCTTCGTTCAGGAGCCTGTCGAAGTATTCTTCCCACTTACGCTGACCTCACCAGGCTTTCTTAGGATTGTACCCTTCACGTTCTTGAGAAACTTCACCACGCCGATGCCTTGAGAAGCCCGCTTTTGCCAATCGGAAAACGAATTCTCTCTTTTTCGGCCACCGAGAGTCTTGTACAAGGTGTTCATTTCTGTATTCTTTGCTTTGGCTACGGCAGCCTTTGCAAGCCTCTTTGGTGTACCCTAGGCAGCGAAGTCTTTTGTAGCCTGTGTCCTTTGCCAGCACTTGTAGGCCGATTTATCCTACCTAACAACTCGCCGGGCCTTATCGTTCCAAAACCATGCTTCCTTGTCCCCTTGGAATCTACCTGGAGCTTCACTCAGCGTTTCTTTTGAACATCGTAGGATGACCTTCGCGACTTTGCTGCAGGTCCGCTGGATCGGCTCACCATGATTTGGTAGTCCAGCTTCCAATATCTTCCTACTGAGGTGTTCTTTTTCGACTTGGTGCAACATCCACTACGGGATCATCCTTTTCTTGGATTTCTTGTCCTTGATTCTTGGAAAAATCGATGGCTGTGTCTGCTAGAAGAGGCCTGTACTGTGGTGTCAGATCATCTTCAGGCAGCACCTCAATGTCCTTCACAGTTTTGAGGGACCGCACATGATCTAATCCCGTTTCCTTCCATCCACTGCTGTAGGTTACTTTCTGAGCCTTCCTTTCCGCGGAGAAAGTGCGGACTACTAGATCATGGACCACGGCCAAGTCGAGGACGCTCTCTCCTTTTTCGTTTCTAACTATTATTCCTCTACCTCCATGTACCCTTTCCAATCCCATCCTTTCACTGCCGACGTGCCCATTCAGCCACCTTCGATGGTGAGAAAGTTCCCCTCCGGAATTGGTCGGATGGCCACGTTGAGGCTAAGGTGGAACTCTTCCTTACCGTGGACGGGCGGTCCGCTTGTGATGGTCCGGTATCCCTCCTTCGTGTCTAACCTATTAGCCATGATTCGACTGCTGATCATGCTGACGGCTGAAACAGATTTTTGAGAGACACGACATCGCTATGGTCACACCATGTCTTGTGTCTTTTCCATTGTAAAAGAGGCTGACACCCTCTCCAATTTCTTTGGCCTCTGCTCCTTTCCAGCGGGTCTCCTGAAGGCATAGAATTCGGATGTTACTGCGCTCCATGAAATCAGCGATCTCCCTCGACTCAGTAAGCGAACCCACGTTCACAATCCCAATTCCAACTAACTTCTTTGGCCGAGTTCGTTCGCTGCTCGGAAGCTCTTGCATACTGTCCACAGGACTTTGGTGGGGGTCCTGCGCGCTAAATCCGGGTGACGTCCTAGCTCTATCACTGATGTTTTTTGAGACTTCAAACATGATTGCCAACTGTATGAATGATCGTCAGTATTTTCTCCGTCGTCTTTGCTTGAGGGCGCTTTCAAGGAAGATTGTTACTGAATTGGCACGTTGCGCAGTAATCGCCATTTACGGCTATATCTAAACCTCGGCATAGTGCAAACGTTGGTTTTCTCTGATTGAACTCGGACTAGGTTGACAAAATCCTTTATTTCGGCTTTCGTTTCGGCGTGGATCGCCTTCTTCAGAGCCTGGAAAGTTCGAAGCAATTCATGACTACACGACCAAACGCCTCAACCCTATGGAAATTCGACACCTCAGAGGTCATCACGCAATGGTAAGTTGGGCCAATTACCGTAGATCAGTCCGATCCTCGCGACCACTGAGGAGCTAGCAGCGGTCAGTAAGCTTTTCGAAGTGGATGTGATTCAGACTTACTGGTGGAAGGCCAACCTTATATACGGCCTCAGCTCCCGCGTGATTGTGAGGCATTCTTCCCTCCGGTTCATTTTTGGCCTAGTGACCTGGATTCAGATTGCCTCGAGCATTTTCCGTGCGGGTCTTTGCGATTCTCGCGCCAATACCTCGGCCGTGACCTCAAAGTCGGCTCCGTAATGAGTTCCACCCTGTGGGCGCCTAAGGCAGTTGACATGCGTGACCTGACCTTGCCCTCTAAGTGCTCCTTGATGCGCACGCATAGCGGTCTTGATGTTTCGCCGATGTACACCTCTCCACAGCTGCAACACGTGATCTTGTAGACCACCCCTGCGATTGTACAGTCGCCTTCCTTGTTCCTTGCCGGATGGGCAGACCACACAATCAGGGGTGGTACATGAGCGGTGTAGAGCCGATTGCGAACCAGCCGATGCTTTAGGTTGTAGGGGAGTACTTTCATCAAAGGAAACGGATCTTGGCAGAACCTATAACTATAACTATAACTGTTAAGCCTGAGGTCGCGCTTCACAATCTTCTGGACGGATTGATGGCTGATGTTGAGATCAGTAGAATCCGTTTCATGCTGACTCTACCGTTGCAGATGATCTTTCCTAATGATAACACGAATCCTCGATGTTTTCACTTGTCTCGATCGTCTACTATTTGGCATCCCGGAAGCTCGATCTTGAGCCCTAAAAGCTCCAAAGGCATTCCAAACGGTTGGAGAGGGAATGCCGAGTCGCTTTGCAATGCCACAACTCCTGAGAGTTCTCTGAGCAAATTCTTGATGATGGGTCAGGGCAAAGAAACTTTCATAGCGACTGCTCAGACGGATTGTTGATCAAATGACTAGCGAGGAATCTTGCACCACTCCCACGCTTTCTAGAAGTCCCGAGAGATTTCGAAATTACCTCTTCGCAGGATGTCAGCAAGACAAGTAGCGATGTCCGAGGCTAATGATTTTCTGGTTTCCTACAGCTAACCTAGACGCTAGCGACAAAAAAATAGACCCATTGACAGTTCAAAGAACCGACTCTTTGATTATGTGTTTGCATAATGAACGAACAATAGTAGCTGACGGCAAATTACTCACCCGACGTTTTAGCACCGAGATACACAGTGAATACGATAGCAAGACCCCAACCGAAGTTGATTTGTGTCCATGTATTGATTTTTTCATCCGAAAGAATCAACTGCATGATCACGCTCAATCCAATGAACTGTAAAGCAGAGAAATATCTGTCTTCAGCCGTGGTCTTCTAACAGGGCTTATTCTGTTTTCAACATTTTGCAAGTTATTCTTTCTTGCTTGCGCCATCACGTTTTTCTTCTGCGTTTCTTCAAATATGTTGATGTTATTTGTTACTTCCGCGTTACCGTATTAATCCTAACCGCAAAAGAAACTCGACAATTTTCTGGCATTCTCATAAAAAAGAACACTACACAAAGTCGATGTTCTCACGGAAGTGCCTCCTAACAAGTATATAGGTACTGCTAGCTCTCAAATGTATTCGGCTTGGCACCGTTTTGGTTACAACCTTTCTCTCAAGCTAAATCGCCTCAAGTTCTTGTTGTCTTCGAGAAATACTTGAAGAGCCTAGCGTCTCGCTTCGGTGGGAGAAGGAGTGCTTAGTTTCAGAAAACCAGTCGGATCGCCCGGCTCTAGTAATCGGACAATTCTGCAACATGAAACTCTTTTGGGAAAGGAACTTGACACAGGCGTTACAATATTGACACAGGGCTCCAAAGGAGGAGAGCTTGGTACAAAGAGGTCAGTGCAAGTGGTATTCAGCATGTGCCAAGCATGATTGATTAGGTTCTCAATTTCTGGTTCAACATCTTAAAAATAATCGTCGCAATCCATGCAAAGTATAGCGGTCGTAATCTGACAGTCGTGATCCCAAATACATCGAAAAAACCATAGGCCTCAAAATTCAGTTGGCAAGCGCCTTTATCATATCAGCTCTCATCAGTTGTTCGGTTCCCCTAATCGGCCTTCTTAGTGGCTTAGGCCTTCTTGAGTTCGTTATCAACGCTTATCAGTTATCAGCTGCTGAAGTCGTTTTCGATCCTTTCACCGCCAAGGTGTCGAGGTTCCAATGTTGACGCCACAGCGTAGCCTTTTGCTTCTGACAGTTTGTTATCGGCTTTAATTGGCTGTAATCGGTTCCATTTTTAGTCATTTGTGGCTCCTTCACGTCCCTTATCACCTGCCATAGTTCCAATGCTTCACTGTTAACACGAACGGTGTCACGAATGTAGAGGCTCTAGTTCTATGACTTCATCAAACTATAAGTTGTTAGCAGTTACCTTCAGCGAATATCTACAGCCTTCTTACACCTACTTCTCCTGTCAAAGTGTCAAGGTTCCATTGATAACAGGAAGGGCGTTACATAACTTACCGCTCTCACCCTTTGAGGCTCGTTATCACTCTCTATCAATTCTTATCAATCTCTGTAATCAACCATTTGCGGTCCCATCACATCCCACACCACCCATCAAAGTGCCAAGGTTTCACCCTTAACACAAAGGGCCTTATAGAGCCAGTGATTTTCACCTCGTATGGCTGTTACCAGTCTCTATCGGTTGTTACCATTTCCTATCATATACCATCAGTCTTCCTATCCTGTCGTCTGTATTCCTTTCAAAATTAATTCTCTAGGTCCAGTAGTACAGGAATTATGACACAGTTCTGGCAGAAACACACACACATACACGCTCGCAAATACACCAATAGACACACTTAGCGGATTACATGAGTAGAATTTCATGCAGAGACAACCTTAACACGTACGACGTATGGTTATAGGGAACATTCGCGTGTTTATCCTCTTCTATTTTTATTCCTATATTGCGTGAGCGCGTAAACACGACTCTAACAGCAGAGGTTCTCCAGGGCGTGAAATGATCGTGAACATGAAGCATTCGAAATGACGGTCGCCGCCATAGCTACAATCTTGAGGTTCTACACTTTTTTTGAAGATGTTTACGAAACTACAGAACTATGAGATCAGGCAACCCCTTGAGCGATCTAAAAACCTTCCATGTGCTAGTCAGGATAGACGAATCATGGACGGTCGATATTGTTGCAGATTCAAATGTAAACGATAACATAACTATAGTCGGTATACCGTAGAAAAACGTCGTAATGCTGTTAAACTGAACGAGAGGTCTATATCTAGAAAACCCCAGGTCCCTGCTGAAATCGATATTTCCAAGTGATGCCATGTCACCACCTTACAAGGACTACAGAGGTGTGGAGCAAAGCACACTTCATGTATAAAAGGAAGAAGAGCATGTGCGTTTTTCTGGTGAGCGATCCAACTGAATGTCCGGAAGGCTTTTGGTCGAGCATATCGGTGATGGTCAGCAGTGGTTTATGCTGCCCTAGTTCTTTATCTATTATCATGTTTCAAAGCAGATTCAAAGTAAGTGTCCCAATACTTTCATTTGTAAGTACTCACGAGAAGCATTGCTGTGCCGAAAAATTCTGTGAGCGCATTCCGGCCAAGTGGGGAACTGATGTGGATGAACTCGCGTAGAATTTCAGGCGTAAACACTGGTTCTTGTTTTGCTCTCTCGAGTTCCTCTGATTCTGAGGTCATCTGAAAATTTGAGTCATTATAATTAAAGTTGAAGATTTCGAATAAGAAGCTGCTGTAGTATATGTTTTTCACCTTTGAAAACCCTGAAAGTTACCTTGGAAGATTTTTATTTCTAGCATCCAAAAACAATATTTCATCAAGTTCGTATTAGGAAGCATAAAGTTGAACTATTGCTGTATTACTGAATTCTTTTCTTGAAATTTTAATGAGGTTCGCATATAAACCGTCACTGGAGGACACCGAATTCAAACCCTCAAGGCATTTTGAATACAGGTCTCCAATCCAAAAATAATCATTGCAAAGAATGACTCGCAATCAAGCGGGAGCTACGGCCTAATACATATAAGAGCCTTGCCGCAAAAACCCTGACTGAAGACCCAGTTGAGAGTTGGCGGTTGCTCCATCGTTTACTGGGTAGTTTCGAAGTTTTAGACCCGGGTCTAAAAAAATAGCGGGGCATTGAAGACGCTCGATCGGATAGTCACTATTTGTTAATCCTTTCAGGCTCTAAAGAAGACGATCCAGCTGAAATGACAACCTAATAGAGCAAGGCAACATCAAAAACTATAGAAATGTACAATCTCCTCCGCTATGATGACGCATGCGAAAAGCTCGCAGGCAAATGGGCGATAGTTTGCAATATCGTTGGGATCTCACTTCTTATACAGTTTTCCACGCCGTGAGCACTTATGACTACAGGTAGCGCGTGAAGAGCCTGGCAAAGGTCGTGCCAACATCTGGTGAAAAGCTCTTCAGCTGCTCTGGTTTGATCTTATTGGGACCGAACGCCGTACAGTTCTTAACCGACGGTCGAATTTCGGAGGGAAACCCGAAGGAGTGGAATATTCGTCTTGCCTAAGATTGTGGGCAGGATAGACGTATCTGTCGAAG